CGATGCGACGTTGTGATTGATTGGGTCAGACAAGATGGCAGAAGTTCAAAATGAAGATTGCAAGGGAAGGTCGAAAACCTATGATGTAACAGAATTGAAGAAAATTCAAGCAGAGAGGTCGAAAATCAAGAATATGAACTTAGCAGCACTAAGGCAAAAACAATATACTTTTAGATCGAGTTATCATCACTCAACCAGAATTGGGGGACATGTGATATGGGATAACACACCAGGCAGAGCAAACACGATAAATCAAATGACCGGGCCGAATGAACCAGCTGGTCGAGCATAGCGGCAGAAAGGTCGAGCGCCGAAGAGAATTCTTCCGGTCGAAGAGGACGTGCGGTTCAAAAGGATGACGGGTCGAGCCACGTTCCTCAGATGGCATGTTAGAAACTCGACCTAAAGGTACAGATAGTCGTGTGATCAACCAGAAGGAAAACACTTAGGCTCAGTAAACATAGCATTCTGCCTCAGCAGGATTCGACATGGTCGCACGATTAGACGGTTTAATGAAAGACTAATGTATGAGAAAAAAATAATAGTAGGGTAAGGACCGCATGTGGATAGGACCATGTGGCCTAACAGAATTGGGCAGTTTGGACAATTCGAGCAGTGTGAACGGCAGTTCGAACACCCCACTCAGGTAGTCTTGGGCAACAAGGTATCCTCTTCATATATAAGGGAGTGAGGTATACTCATTATCACATTACATTCTCTATTATTTTCTACATACATATTGCACATGCTAACTTAAGCATCGGATGTTGTTCACTAGAAAACTCCTCCCGTTTGAGAGTTTTTGCTGGTCTAAAGACATTCAACCGGCGAAAAACTCATACCATACCGATTTTCAGCCGCTGAAAGGTTTTTTGCGTACGAGTGATCATATGGTAATCATTACTATTTAAAATATGTTAATCATTACTGTTTAAAATATTATATACAGTTACAATAATTCTTGTAGAAAGTAGTTATATTTAATATGAAAAANNNNAAAAAAAAAAAAAAAAAATGCAATAGATCCTCCTAATATTCAAACTAACCCCCAAATTCAAACCCAATCGAAAAACCGAGTCTAAAATCTCACTTCCCTTGCAATATACTTCACCAAACTCCATCTCGCCGAGCTTCTGATTGATCTTCACCTTCCACCCGCCATTCTCATTTCCCATTATATATTTTCAAGCTCACCAGACAAAAAACCTCTGCACAGCAAAGGCCGAGTTTTTCTTGGCTCACACCATTCATATGCTGTACTGTTCCATCCCCAAAACCTTGGTAGAATTCGCCAAGAACAAGTAGATTTAGATGGTGGAGACGTCAACGCCCACGTCGACCCCATCGTGCTGTTGGCGGAGATGGTGGGCCTCATTGTGCGCCGCCAACCACCACCACCACCGCCGCCGCTGGATCCCCTTCCCCGCCACTTTCTTTTCCATTCGTAAGACCCTCCTGACCTCTGTCTGTCTGGCGCTCTTCTTCACCGCCTTCTATTGGCAGAAGGAAGCCACCGCCGGCGGATTGTCGATTTTCCGGCGGGATTTTTCGTCTCGGCAGTTCCCGAAGCTGAGGCCTGCCGCTTTTAACTTGACGGACTTCGGAGGGGTGGGTGATGGGGTAACCCTCAATACGGCCGCGTTCGAGCGGGCGGTGGCGGCGATTTCTAAGCTCGGGAAAAAGGGTGGCGGCCAGCTCAATGTGCCGCCCGGAAATTGGCTTACGGCCCCGTTTAATCTGACTAGTCACATGACTCTCTTCCTCGCTGAGGGTGCTGTTATTCTCGGCATCAATGTGAGTGCTTCTTTTGATTTCTCATTTTTTACTGCAATTTTCTATTTTTCGTATTTTTATTTTTTTTGGGTGAAGATTTGAATTTTCGTTGTGGGAGGATGAGATATTCATCGTTTCGGTTACCTTGACACTCGGAATATGACTTGGTTAGTTTCTTAGGAGTCATAGAGAATTTGCTGACTTTGATAGTTGATTGGTTTAATTTGGTTGCTAGAATGTTTACATGCCTGGATATAGCTGTTTGGTTGATTAACTTCCATTTTCAAAATGATTGCATTTTCGCGTAAAGTAACTGTGTATTTTAGTCCTTAAGATGGTTTTATTCTTGGTATACTGGAAAAAAATGAATACACTTCTCGTTATGTGTATGTTTGAAGTCGTAAAATAAAAAACTTTGAGCTTCTGTGGTCAGTAAATTGCATTTATCATCTTTAAAATGGAACTTTTATGGATTTGGCATGGAATTGGAGGTACGTGAACATAATCCAGCATTCAACCTCTAACTAATGGACTATTAATTGTCAACAGAGTTTTGTTACATACTAAAGAAGGGATGTGCTTGTGTGCAGAACCTATTTGTATATGTTTCCAATGAACTGTTAGTTCTATTTCTTTTTCACTTCATCTTCTAACATTTTCAGCTTCCTAATCTTTAAGAATATTTGGGTGCTTTTATGAGTTTACCAAATGTCAAAGGACAGTACATTCACCTTCTGGTGCATCATTATGATCATCAATTTCGAGGTCCGGTGTGAATTGATTCGAGAATGGGACCCAACATGATCCCTTCAAATTGTAGAAGTCCTCTAGTACTCCAAGCAGTACACTTTGTCACGTATTCTCCTTAAGACTTATGATGTGTAATATATTGGTGGTTCATTTGAGAAGATCATATTTTTCAACCCAGAAATATCTATAGTGTTGCAAAAAAGTTATCAACCCTATTTCCCATCCAATATTACTTTAAGAGTTTCAATCGTGTTCCTTCTGTTGATGTTGAACTTATGCACACGACTTTCTGTTTGTTCATTAGTTTATTTATTTTTTATTTCTACCTTCTGTTTTTGCTTAATGTGCTCCTTCCACATGTTCTGGATTACTTTCTTCAGTAAACATTTTGCAGATTACCTTTTTTTTGTAACGATTCTAATACTTAACTATCTGGGACAATGTGAAGTACTTGATTTGCCAAGTATTGCTCCAATTTCTTTGCTTGATTTTCAACCGTTGGCATTTACTAATGGGAAGATTGAGTGTATGATGTTCGCGTATGAGTTCAAGTAAACAATAATATAGGAAAAATCAATATCTTCCACCGTACAGTAAAATGGCTTGCGCGTTGTCCAGCATTGTCATAATTAGTGTTATAGCTATCCTTTTTCATCAGGATGAGAAGTACTGGCCACTCATGCCTCCATTGCCTTCTTACGGATATGGGAGAGAGCATCCTGGTCCACGATATGGAAGTTTAATCCATGGCCAATATCTCAAAGATGTTGTAATTACAGGTCAGCGTTTTAATCCATGGGTTTTCATGCTTTGTTCTTGTGGATAGGAACATAAGGGTGGGTGTACCTCATACCCATTTAGAAGCTGTAATGCTAATCCTTTTTCTTCTGTGTGGAACCATATTGCTCATTGGAGAATATTTTATTGCTCATGTAATTGAGGAGTTACTATACAGCATGTATATCAAAACTTTGCAGACTGTAAATGTCAAACAGCCTGGAGCATATACATAAGCAGGCATCTGTAGGGAATAACATTTGTAGATTTAAAAGAGAAAGGAAACTGAAAGAGAAGGAAAGTATAAGGTGTGTCGAACAAAATAAATGCATACTTTGTTTGCATTTAGGTTATTTTGAAGGCTTCAGGTCTCGGCTGCAAGAACTTTAATAAGTATAAAAATCAGAAACAGCATTGTTGCACGCATGTTCTCACAAGTCCTCTTTCTCCCACAATTTATTAATTCTAAGTCTGTTCAATTTTAGTCTAAATCCTACAAGTTTTTATGAAATGCATATTTGAAATGGCTTACTTTGTATGTGTTTAGCCATGTACAAGTCATGCCATGTCCTAAATGTTGGGAAAACAACCGCATTGCATGTTGAGAGTGTGACATGTATGTGATATGTTACCATGTCAAACTGTGCATAATAGGTGGCTTAGGTGTTTTAAAGGTCTTGTACTTGGTTCAGCTTAAAGCAAGATATCCATGTTACATTACACTCTACTCTTAAAGATGGTTCTAATTAATTAAGAATGCACAATCTTTGGTGCGGTTCTGATTTGGAGATGAACTATTGAGAAGAATTTATTGCTAAACCTTTAAGTTGCAAAGCCTCCATAAGGTTTGAGAAACTTCCTAATGAAATTAAGCAATGATTTGACTTGTTGACTTTATTCCGATCAGTGGATCGTTTAATAACGTTTTTGGTTGAATTTTATACATGTATCTGCAGTAATACTATGGTACCTTTTTTGTGCCAAAGGGAACCACAATTAGAAACTAATTTGCATCTCTAGAAACCAAGAAGGCCAAAAAGCTTTTATACCACTCACTTCTTTGTAGCTATTTAATTTTATGGGTAAAATAAATTCGTGCGCTGAAAGCCTGCTTTTCATTCCTTGTAACAGGGCATAATGGCACCATTAATGGACAGGGTCAAATATGGTGGAGGAAGTATAAACAGAAGCTTCTTAACCACACAAGGGGACCACTTGTGCAGATCATGTGGTCCTCTGACATCGTGATATCTAACCTAACTTTACGTGATTCCCCGTTTTGGACCCTTCACCCGTACGACTGTAGGAACGTAAGGCTAAAGAATTTAACCATCCTTGCACCTGTTTATCAAGCTCCAAATACAGATGGCATAGATCCTGGTAAGTTTTTTCTTTCGTTCTATCTCATATGAGTGTTTAGGTAACTGGGTGGACAATACTGTGGCTCAGTTATTTTCTTTTATTGTAGCATTTGACAGCTGTGAAAAGTAGTTCACTGAATAACCATTGAGAATGGTATTGGGATACTCAATGACCAGTCAGATTTTTTCATTATTATTATTTTTTTTTTTCTTTAAGATGGATTGGGAATAGGCGTTGAAGATGAGAATCCCCACTAGCCTTGAAATGATTAAGACAGTGCATCATAGGTAAATGCTTATAAATCCTTGTAAAGTGTGATTGATAAACTAATCATCCTACTAGCACCCTGGGATCCAAACTGATAAGGCACACGATAACTTATCCTCATCAACATCTAGGTTTGGGTTTGCCGGCCATAAGAGTATATGGACTTCATGACCGACAGAATATATGCAATATATTTCTGGCAGCATGGAATTTTGCTAGATGGATATGACAGTTGATTTTCATAAGACCCCATTTTCCCAAGCTCGTTTCAAACACATCAACATCAACATACCCAGTATATTCCCAAGCTCGTTTCAAAATAAAAATTAAAAATCTTTGATTCTCGAGAAGAAAGAAAAAGAAGCGTCAGAGTGTAATTTGGATTAGTAATATTTTTTAACCAACTTCAGTGCAAAAATTAGCATCACTATTTTGCCACTTCTCATGCCTTCAGATTTCGTACTTCCAGCTGGAAACAGACCTAATCGAACTTGATATTGAACAGATTCATGTCAGGATATGGTTATCGAGGACTGCTACATAAGCGTTGGGGACGATTGTGTCGCGATCAAGAGCGGCTGGGACCAATACGGCACCGCCTACGGACGCCCCTCCAAGAATATTATTCTCAGAAACCTTGTCGTCCGTTCTAACGTCAGGTAAAAAAATTTAAATGATTTTTCTTTTTCCATTTTTTTACTCCAGTTTTTTTTTTTATTTTTTATTTTTATTTTATTTTATATATATCTGAACTCAAATGTTTCTTCCCAGTGCTGGCATATCAATCGGCAGCGAGATGTCGGGAGGTGTGTCAAATGTCACGATCGAGAACATTCACGTGTGGAGCTCGAGGCGCGCAGTCCGGATCAAGACGGCCTCTGGAAGAGGCGGATATGTCCGGGACATCAGGTAGGGATTGGAGTGATGAACACGAATCCTCTTATTCGTGAGTCACTGTCACTTGAATGTTCATCATCCATCATCCACATATTTATCACTAATTCACTATATATCCATTGTGTATTAGTGACATTCAAGCACAAAAGAAAAATGTTTCATGTGACTAATATTTCTTAATCACTTTAATCTTCAACAATTGTGCATATTCATAACTATACATTATAATTCACACATCTCACTGATCTATTTATGTGAAACTATATGCAACGAATATTACCTAAAGAGAAAAAAAAAAATTTGCAAGCGGTATTTATTGACCTTGAAAAAGCTTATGATAGTGTTAATAGAGGTATAATGTGGAGAGTGTTAGAAAGAGGGTGGTACGAGTTGGTTATATAGAAACCATAAAAGATATGTATAATAATGTGAAAACTTGTGTTAGGACACCGATAGGGGTATCAGGTGAATTCTCTATCACTATTGGTTTGCATCAAGGCTCGGCGTTGAGTCTGTACTCTTTGCATTAGTAATTGACAAACTTACGAAACATTTGCAATTGGATGTCACTGATTGCATGTTGTTTGCGGATGACATAGTGTTCGAAACATGGAGAGATGCACCTGAAATAAAGGGTTTCAATATAAGTAGGGCCAATACATAATATATGGAGTGTAATTTGAGTAATCAAATGAGTAATAATGGGGTAAAGGTTAAAATTTGGGGACACATCTAAAAGTTTTAAATATTTAGGATCCATTCTAGAAGATAATGTAACACATAGGATTCAATTGGGTTGGAACAAGTGGAGGAGCGTCGTCGATACTTTGTGATCGTAAAGTGGTAGTTAGTTTGATATCGAACGGCCATTCAACAGACGATGCTTTATGGATCCGTGTGTTGGGCTACTAAATATGAAAATGATCAAAAAATGCGAGTGACAGGGTTGAGGATGTTGAGATGGATGTGGGCATACTAGGTAAGATAAGATTAGAAATGAAAGTATTAGAAATAAAGTTGGGGTAGCGCGAAAATAAGAGAATCTCGATTAAGATGGTTTGGACATATGCGTAGGAGAGAGTTTGAGGCACTGGCGAAAAAGGTAGAAATATTAAAATTAAGAAAACAAATTAAAAGGGGGAGGGGTAGACCAAAGAAAACTTGGAAAGCAATGATAAATGATTTAAATAATTTAAATTCGAATGAGGATATGTCTTTTCTTCGAGAACGATGGCGACATGTAAACCATTTTTAACGGCTTGTTGATAGATTGATTGATTTTATATTCATCACTCAGTTAATTGTGTATTCATACTTCCATGTTAATCATTCATCACGTGTACATTAATCCTACCATATTATTTTGGGTGGGCTTCAGGTATCGGAACCTGACATTTGATAATGTTCGGGTGGGCATTGTGATAAAGACGGACTACAACGAGCACCCGGACGGGGGCTATGATCCTCGGGCCTTCCCGGTGCTGGCCAACATCAGCTACGAGACGGTGCATGGTGAGGGGGTCCGTGTGCCCGTTCGCATTCAGGGGAGCGAGGAGATACCCGTGACCAACGTCACTTTCCGAGACATGTCGGTTGGTGTAACAGATAAAAGGAAGAACGTATTCCAGTGTGGTTACGTGCAGGGCCAAGTGGTAGGGACCATTTATCCTGCTCCGTGCGAGAATCTTGATTTGTATGACGAGCAGGGGAGTCTGGTGAGGCGGTCGTTGTCGTGGAATAGCTCGGATATTGATTACGATGTTTGAGGTGGAAGGTGACATTTCCCCCCCCTTTTTTTTTCGGAAGGAAAAAAAAAAACTACCAGTTTTTTATGGGTGGTGGTTTTCTTGTATGTTTGTAATGGGTGCTGGACAGTGGCGATGTGGGAGGAGTGGCATCCTGATTCTGTATATGCTCAGGATTTTATTTCTGAAGTTGATTATTATACTTGCGCACCATTTTCTTCTGATTATAGCTGTGTTATGTAATGCATAGAAGCGAAAGACGTGTGGTGAGTTTTGCGAGTCATTTGACGTCTTGGATGTTACTTTTGTTCATCACATGCTACCTTTTCAATCACTTTGTCACACAATATTATGATATTTATTAATGTACTAAGCTCAAGGCTCAAGCTTAGTCGCACATACTTCTAAGCTGGAGACCTTCTGAGGCGTATGAATAGGGGTCGTCTCGGTTCTTGGAGGAGTGCATTGATGGTGGTAGTGTAGTTTTTTGTAGTGCAGCTTAGTCTGTGACTGGGCAAATCCAAGGAGAAGCTAGCAGTTTGCCTTTGTTTGTATGCCTCTATGTTTTTGTTGCTTTTGTATTTTATTACTACTTGTTAAGGGATTTTAGTTGGGAACAAATTTTGTTTGTATTGCTTGTTTTAGCCCGCCACAGGTGGTGGTGCCTTGTGTTGGAATATCCTTACTAGGAGCAATTTAGTGCAGTGTTGTTTACAAATATATAAAGAAATCCAATCTCAACTCTAATTTAATTTAAGCTTACTCATAAATATTAATATTATCAATATAATTAAATAATATCAATAATCATCTTTACATATTAACGGTTTTGCTATGAAGCCATTAAATTGCTCGGCAGATGGAGTCATCCATAGTTATTCACAAACATTGCAGGACATTTCTCAAATGTCAAATGTGATTGTCATACTAATTCAACGGTTTTGCTATGCAGCCATCGGATGACTCGACTTATGGAGTCATCTATAGTTATTCACAAACGATATATTGACACGTGTTCTGCAATAAATACACATTGAATGCATATCAGTACATAAAATTATGAATGACTCCAAAAAAAAAGTCCTCCCATGGCTACATAGAATTTTTTACGAACGCAATAGCAGTTCACAGTTTGCACCAAATGTTACTGTGATGCTGGACCAAAAAATGAGGCATTCTAGTGAGATCTGAGCATATATATCACACAACGGGAACCAAACACCATTTCCTTCTCCTCCTCTCAGCCTTCTCGCACCTTCGTAACCACAGCCACCGTGTTCCTCCTCCGCCACCCGCTTTCTCCTTGATTTGGCCGCTGCACAGTCCTCCACATCTCCTTAGGTGAGTTCATCGTTATTCTGTTCTAGCCTTCTAGGGTTTATCATTTCATGTGATACGACACCATTAGCATATGTAATTTGGCTATTTGAGGGTTAATTTCTAATACGAGCCGCCTAAAGATTGATGAAACTAACTTAGATGGAGATACGGTATTCAATTTTCCGGTGTTCTCACCAAGCTGCTATAGGTTGGCGATAAATGCCATGCCCCTTGTATGAGAAGCCATGAATGCATATTGCTTTTCATTCTTGGTTGTGATTCTTTTGAGTTATATATAATCGGATTTGTTAGGAGAAGCTATTAGGGCTTCGGAGGTACATATGGAATCGATCGGAGGGAAAAAGGAAGATGATTACAACAATAGCAATCAGCAGCCAGCCATCTTGGATGAAGATAATGAACGTGTCGCCCTCGATCTTAAGGCTGGCCTCCACCCTCTCAAAGTTAGTTTCCTCTCATCCTTATATAAAGCATGACTGATGCAATCTCTTCAATGATAGCTTTATTTCGTTTTTAGGTTGCGATTTCTGTTATTGCTAGCGTTTAAGATGGTGTTATCAACTCCAAGTGTTTCTGTTCATCTTGTGCCAGATTGGTTTCTTTTAGCATGTTTCTCACGAGTGCTTATTTAGTATATTATGTGACATATTAAAAATGATCTATGGAAGAACATTCCAGCATTGGTACGGAAATATATTTCTGTTTGTTCCTGATTCGTAATTGAGTCCTTAGAGATGAAAGTATTTTAGCTACTTGAATAATAAATCAATAACCTCAACTATTGTTTATCGTTTTCTTAACTAATTTTTTCTGAGTTTTCTGAGATTGCATAAGTGATTTATTTTCTTATAGGCATTGTCTTTAATTTCTACAAATTCAAAGAGACTAAAGCTATCCTATTATTCATTTAACTATAACCATCCAAGCATCTCTCCTGTCCTTTATAAGAAAATGAAGTCAAAGAATATCTGTATATTCAAGGTCGGGAGATTGCTATGCAAAGTTTGTATACTCACTTATAGTATATGGTCAATTGGTTTTCTCATAAGAAAATAAAAATCATTATTATGTGCATTTGGTTTCTATTTGGCATAAATCGTACACATTTTTCTGAAATTATCTCAAATTATTTAGCGTTTAAATTTATTTAATTATCTCAAATGATTCTTGAGAGGTTATACTTACTTTGGGATATAACGCTCTGATTTCATAATCATAATATTATTTGATGTTCAGCACAAATTTGTATTTTGGTACACTCGGCGAACTCCCGGAGTCAGAACACAAACATCATACGAGGATAATATCAAAAAGATTGTAGACTTCAGTACAGTAAGTTTTTTGTCTTTTCAGTTTGAGTATATTAAGGTGGTCATATGTATGGTCTCTGCTGTAGCCTTAGTCTTCATTGCAGCATGAGTTTCCATAATGTAACTGGTGCATTATTATTTCATATGAACTGGACTCAGGTGGAAGGTTTTTGGGTATGCTATTGTCACTTGGCTCGCCCCTCCACATTGCCAAGCCCAACAGATTTGCACTTGTTTAAGGATGGTATTCGTCCTCTGTGGGAGGTACGTATTTTACATATTGTGCTTTTATATAGTTTCTCCACTTTTTTCATATGTAACTAATAAACTCAACGTTTGTGTCTTTTTCTTTCCACCAGGATTCTGCTAACTGCAATGGCGGGAAATGGATTATTAGATTTAAAAAGGCTGTATCTGGCCATTTTTGGGAGGACCTGGTACCGGAAGAAGCAATATTATTAAATTAGTGTGTGTTTGTGTGTGTGTGTGTGTGTGCGTTTTAGTTACTAGCTTTCTTCACTTCCTATTGCTTGTCTAGTATTTTTATGTTTTACTCGTGTCCATTTATTTTTGAGATTACTAGTTATGTGCTTTGATCTTTCTTCTTATAGGTGGATAGCGATAAGTTTCAGATACGCTCATACCATTTTCTCATGCTAGTCATTTAGGTTGTGTTACAAAACTCCATCAACATTTTACTTGTAGGTCCTAGCATTAATAGGGGATCAACTTGAGTATGGCGACAATGTTTGCGGTGCAGTACTAAGCATCCGGTTTAACGAGGATATATTGAGTGTATGGAACCGCAACGCATCTGATAATCAGGTTTCCTATTTTTCGGATGTTGTGATGAAAATGCATTGTATTTTCGTTTTCCTTTTTCTTATATGTTGAACAAAAGTAACAAGCGGACTTTGGTGTTTTCTTTGTAACAGGCTGTGATGGGGCTGAGGGACTCTATCAAGCGGCACTTGAAGCTTCCCCATAGCTATGTGATGGAATACAAGCCGCATGATGCTTCGCTACGCGACAACTCCTCTTATCGCAACACTTGGCTAAGAGGGTAGAAGCAAGACTGCAGTTGTGGATTAATTCTTGACCACACAATCCAGACCACTTCTTTTGGTGATCAAAAAGAGTGAGAATGCAAACTGCCCAGTGTAACAGTTTTATGTACGACTTCGACCCATCTTCCACATTTATAACTTTGTGTTGATACTTTTTACATGTTCGTTAATTATGTACACTTCTGCTATGTTTTGCATCTATCCTAGGTTTTACATGTTCATTCAAATTTCCGTGAAAGAGATTTACTTGTCTCATAAAACTTGTCTATCAATTGTGTTGATTAACTTTATATGCACATCTCCAAATGAAGGTTGGACCTCTGTTCTCTGAGTTTTCTTGAAAATTAAGATAAAATCATTAAACGGTGTATAAACCACTTTAGATCAAGTCCAATTTCCTGACAAAGACCCGTAAGTAGCCAGTTACAATTAGTGGTAAAACTACCTGATAATTGATAAGTTAGTTTTTAGATTTTCGAGCTTATAAGTTATGATTTATATTTGAAAAGTTAGCTTATATGATAAAAAAGTATAGTAAAATGAGCTGACAAGTTAGTTGAAATAAACATTTCAACGAGTTTATTTGAAAAGATACGTAAAGAAACTTATGAGATATTTGATATCTCTATCTTTTTAAAAAAACTCGTCTTATTAAATGAAACTTATTTGAATATGGTAAACTTATATGCTAACCAATAAGCTATTAACTAATTTATTTGATTAACAAACATGGTGTTAATGTTTCAAATTTCAACCCTACTACACTTGGTTAGGGCAATGCTATATGTACACCCCCTTTTAATAAATTACACAAAGAAAAGTGCTATATGTACACCCCTTTTTTACACTTGAGGGGGTGTACATATAGACACCCCCCTTGGTTATCGCGAATTATAAAAAAT